TGGCAGCTCCGTCTTTCATGAATTTCATTGAGGTATCACTGTACAGCTGACCCGATTGTAATACTGAACCCCATTTCGTACGTCTGCTATCAAAGAGTGAGCCGAGCCTAAAATATGTTGCCTTTACCAAGTCAGTTATCGGGAGGTTTCGGATTCCCTTGAAAATAGAATTCATTGATTCGACGAGGTTAGTTGTCATGTGGCCCCATCACACCCCATTGTCGTATGTCTGCGTCCATTTCTCCCTATCAATGCTATCAATCCATCTTGAGAGTTTGAGATTTTTAGAGTGTGAGCAAATTTTGATGGGCAAAGAACCTCTATTTATAATCCACAGATGCATGTGACCCCCTGTAGTTGCAGGCAGAGCAAGTGTCTTGATGCATGGGTGAGTAGGCGCGTCACATGTGAGCTGCATGACAAGACAACACTATGCCAATTCACAATGAATTGGTTCCCTGCATGCCTATGATGGCGAGACAACACATGCATGCCTATCAATGACCCTGCCTGCAGGCCTACGAGATTCTTACTCTGCATGCAGCATGCTTGACATTACAGCACAACACTTATCAGCTACACTCTATCATGCCTATCAATGACCCTCCAGGCCTACGACACTCTTACTAATAAATGTATGTCACATGGCCACTGTAACAGTCTGAACACCGTATAATGTATTTTTGAAATTTAATGTTAGATATACTTGTAATATTATGTTTGACGCTGAAAATATTATGTTTACATTTATTAAGCCAACGATATTATTACACTCTTACTAATTAAAAAAATGTTAAACCTAATAACTCAGTTTCTTTGACAAGACAACACATGCATGCCTATCAATGACCCTGCCTGCAGGCCTACAAGACACATGCATGCCTATCAATGACCCTGCATGCAGCATGCTTGACATTACAGCACAACACTTGCCCTTCATGCGTTTACAAGACACATGCATCAAGACACTTGCTCTGCATGCATTCATAAGACACATGCATCAAGACACTTGCCCTACATGCATTTACAAGACACATGCATTCGTGGAATATAAATAGAGGGTCTTTACCCAATAAATTTTACTCACACTTAAACTCTCAAACTCTCAAAGTCTGAAACTAGCAAAGTCTCAACCTCTCAAACACTTAAAGTCTTAGTTTCTCAATCTCTCAAACTCTCAAAGTCTCAATCTCTCAAAATCTCAAACCCTCAAACCCTCAAACTCTACTCACCCAGTAAATTCGTAAACCACAATGTCTCTACTCACAATGGGCAACTCTCACAGAGGAACGATTGAAAACATTGCCGAGTTTGTAAGTTTTTAGTTTTTGTCTATGTTTACGATATTTAGTTATCCTATAAAACTAACGAAACATTAATTATTTTGCAGGATGCATCAAGGTTTCGATGTCGTGTGCATGATTACATACCACACGACCCCCTCATAGACAGATACCTTCGTCATTGTGGGTTTGGTCATGTGATTAAAATCAAATCATACTCGCTCCATGCGAAGTTCATTCTAGCATTGTTAGAACGCTGGAGACCGGAGACACATACATTTCACCTACCTTTTGGTGAGTGCACTGTGACTCTTCAAGATGTCTACATGTTGCTCGACCTACGCATCGATGGTAAGACCGTCAATGGTAAAGTTGGTGTTAACAAACGACTATGTGAAGATTTATTGGGCGTCCCTCTGTGTGAGGACGCAACTCAGGGAGAACGCGAGGGTCGCCGAGGGGTCAGGGAATAAATCTTAAACACCTCAGAGAACAATACAACAATATTGTCTTAAGTGAGGATATCACTGAATATGAGAAAATAGTCAAAACACAGTGCTATATTATGATTTTGTTTGATCATTTTTTATTTCCAGAGGGCACTGGAAATACCATAAATATTATGTATTTACCATTGCTACGAAACATAAACAAAGTGAGCGAATATAGTTGGGGATCAGCTGTCCTCGCCCATCTGTGTAGTGCACTTTGTAAAAATTCTAAAAAAAATTCCTGTACTTTTTATGGTTGCGCCTATCTCCTACAAGCGTTGGGTTGGTCTAGGATGCCAACGCTTGCTCCAGTTAATCGGAATCCGTTTAAATTCCCGTACGCCAACAAGTAAGTTTCTTTTCAAGACTATTTAGCAACCAAATTTTCTTTGTAAGTTAATAATTTGTGAGATGTGTTTTAGATGCTAACTTATATGTGTTTCTTTTTTTTAGGTGGTCTGTTCCAGGGATGAATTATCAAAGATGTCCCAGACACTCTTTAATTCAATACCGCAACCTCATCGACCATCTTGGGCCAGATGATGTAAGTTATCTACCTTTAATTTGTCTAACTTATATGCATAAACTTGTCTATCTTTGTCTGACTAAATGTATCCACCTTTATTATAGTTTGTCTGGATGTCGTACGAGGGTCTCGACCACCAGCCCGACCCCAATGACGCTGCTGTGTGGACATCAAGAACACCCATCATTAGGTTCACTACGGTGGAGATGCACCAAAGTGACAGGGTGAAGCTACAATTTGGGATGCATCAAGATATTCCAGATGCTCCGACATCATTGGGGAAGTGGCATCAGAAACGGGTGGACTCAAGTGGAGTGTCAGTCATTGGAAGGAGTTTGCGAAGGAGATGCGGGAACATTGGAAGAACAGAAGGCAACACGTCTTAACCAGCCATATTGTGCACGAGGATAGACCAAGTCTTCAATATATGGCTTGGTTTAGGTCGGTCACAACATCTCAGCCATTTTTGTCTGAGCCAACCTATTTGGTTGACCCAAGGCAACACGCTTCTTCGTCAAACACACAACAACAGTCCAATGCCCACAATCAGCCTTACCATAACCCATACATGCCACCAAATGCCCCCATCAACAACAACATCCTTACCATGACCCGTACATGCCACCCACCCAGTCCCAACATCAACCACCATATCAATATAGCCCTGATACGTCTTTTGAGCCTACCCCCTCCACCTATAGCCTAGACAACTCATTTGACCATACCCCCTCCAACTATCCACTGTTTGACTACCAAACCCCACAACAATCAACACACCATTTCCAACCCAATTCGATGTACGAATTCGGACAACCATACCGTCCATACTCCACCCAACCTCCCCGACAATCCTACGAAAACATGGGCATTGGGCTTAACTACGGAAGCACCGTTGATAGTGGACCTCCCGGCTATTGAGGCCAAATGTTTCAAAATTTATCTGATACGTCGGGGTCGTCCCAACAAAACCCTCCTCCACATCTCAACACACAAAGACTGGACGCACCACAACAACCTCGTCGTAGACCTCGTCGCAACGCGCATCCCTCATAATGTGGCACCGGTGGTCGCTTGGATAGAGCCGGCCATTAATTTTTTTTTTGTTCAATTGTAATTTTCATTATATTGTAAATTAATATATTTTAATATTTTTTACATGTTTATACACTTAATGTTATTTAAATTTCAATTAATTATAGAAAACATAAACTATAATTTAATATTTATTCCATTTTTTTCATTATTTAAATTTTAATTAATGTTAAAAAACAAAAAATATAATTTCATATTTATTCCATTTATTTTTTAACATTATTTAAAATTCAGTTAATTATGAAAAATCAAAAACATAAATTAATATTTATTCCATTTATTTTTTTTAATAACAAATATTTATTAATACATAATTTAATATTTTTTATAAAAAAAAATAATTATAATTAATTATAATTATGTTTTAAAATTTTTTATTTTAAATATTAATAATAATTATATTTTAATTATGTTTTAATAATAATTAATTTTAAAAATTAAAAAAAGAAAACCCTATAATTGGACTGAGTTGCCAATTGGTTGGGCGACTACAGTGCGGCCCAATGCCATTTGCACCCTATCGCCATTCTCTTTGACGACTTCACTTAATTTCAAAATCAAACTACACAATGTTGTCATTCCATCCGACGACAGAAGGTTGAAATTGTGGTATTTTTATTGTTCTACCCCACTTTGAAATCAAAAATTCCATAATACCCCACCCTAAAAATTATTTACTGATATACCCCACTTTTAATGTGGGCTCGTCCATCCAATTGACGAGCTTGTGCAACGATTCTGGTCCAAAAGTGAGCTCGTCAATTGTGAAGAAACTTTTTTTTTCTTTTCTGATTTGTTTATTTAATAATTTAATAATTAAATAAATCATTAAATAAACAAATCAGTATATATAATATTCTAGCCCAAAAATGATTTACTAATTAATTAGTATTTAAAAATTAATTAGTATTTATAGTATTCTGGCCAAAAAATTAATTAATTTGTTTATTTATAGTATTTAAAAATTAATTAGTAAATCATTAAATAAACAAATCATTAAAAAAAGAGTTTTTCACAAGCTCGTCTATTGGATGAACGAGCTCACTCTTAGATCAGAATTGTTGCACAAGCTCGCAAATTGGATAGACGAGCCCACATTGAAAGTGGTGAAAGTGGAATATATCAATAAATAATTTTTAGAATGGAATATTATGAGATTTTTAATTTCAAAATGGAGTAGAATAATAAAAAAAAACCTGAAATTGTGCCGGTTTGAAATTTTTTTCTAAAACTTTCATTTCTATAGTAATTTTATATCAATACTTGATTATTCTAAAAAAAAATTCCATTATAGACCTTCCCGACATATGACTCACCCAATTTACTTAGGTGGCACACTTAATATAAGTTTTTTTCAATTTTTTTCAGTGTCACGTGAAATTATTTTGACCATGCCATTAATTAATTAATTATTTTAAAGAGCACAAATCCATGGGTAAGTGAGTTTTCAAAGAGCACACATTCTGAAACTCTTTCATCCCAAAACAACCAAGTTTCCATTGTTGGGTTCTACCCTTTTCCATTTCTCACACTTGAAACTTTTGTAATGCATTTGCGTATTCCCCAAAACACTGCAACAGGTTAGAAGAATCATTGACCTTAATCTCGATGTCTATGGCGTCTTTTGTTGTACCCGGGATTTCAAGTTCTCAACTTTCTAGTCAAAATCAGCAAAAAAGTGCAAGTAAATGGGTTTTCCATGGTGGGGTTTCTGTTAAAAGTCTCAAGATAATGATGCATGTGGTCGATCACAATCAAAATCAAATGGGTCGTGGTAGTGGTGGTGGTGATGTCTCCCATGGATTGCATAAGGATTTGGGCTCCCTTCCAAGTAGGTTTCTTTCATCTTCTGTTTCTTGTCTACCATTCACTTTCTTCAAGATTATTGCATAATGATTTTGGAAAATTGAATCGGGTTAAAAGTGAGGTAAAGATAAAGTGATTTCTCTTTGGATAAATTTCAGTGTAAAAATCACTTTAGACTTAAAAGCTATAAATCTTAGCTTCAAGTAGAATCAATTTTAAAAAACAAAATCAATTCTACCTTGAGAGTAACGGAACTTGTTAAAATCAATTCTACCTTGAGAGTAACGGAACATGTTAAAATCAATTCAACACATCCCAAATCAGTTTTAAGTGTTTCAAATGTGAAACCAAACATACTATTGTTGAACTTTCTGTGGTTAATGGCATTCAAAATTGGGGCTAATTGTATTCAGATTATGTGAATGAGTTGCATCATTTGTTATATTTATTGCTTGTAACACTAAAATTATAATTTATTCAAACAAAAAGATGGAACTACAGCTTTGCTATGCCAAAGTGCGTAAACAGACTTTGTATCCATTGTTTGCGATTTGCGTTTCTATTTTCTTTTTTTGTTACTAGTTGATGTTCTAACAAAATCTTTTAAAGAGCTATGGTGTTATGATCAGACTAGTTGTAATCATTTAGCAAGTCACGGGTTCGATTGTTTTTTGTTGCCATTTTATTGCATTATTGTTTGACCTTATGCATTTCCGTTTGGGCTTTTGCAATGAGTTTTCAGATATTTGACTTTACAACTCCTCCTTTTGTTACTAATTGTAGGGCCATTATCCATAACAGACATTGTGTCTGCTTCGGATAGTCTTGCGAAAGTTCGAATATCGTATAAGGTATGATAGCTCTGTGTGATGTCCGGCACTGTTTGATTTGATGCTCTCGGTTCATTATTATATGCTTCAATTACTGATTTAGGGGATACCAGGATCATACAGCGAGGACGCCGCACTCAAAGCTTACCCCAATTGTGAAACAATCTCATGCAGTGATTTTGAAGAAGCTTTTAAGGTTTGAAGTGATATGCAATATTCTTTAACCTAGACTTCATAGAATTATTTGCTATTACTTATATTTTTCATTTTCGAAATAAAAAATGAAAATATTCTGACAGGCTGTTGAGTTGTGGCTGGCTCACAAAGTTGTCATTCCGATTGAAAATACGTCTGGTGGAAGCATTCATCGGAACTATGATTTACTTCTTCGTCATAGGCTTCATATTATCGGTGAAGTGCAGTTGGCTACTAACCTCTCCCTTCTAGCTCTACCTGGTGTCAGAAAAGAGCACCTTAAACGCGTTTTAAGTCATTCTCAGGTCACGCCCGGTCTTCGTATTTCTCATTTATGGCTTTTTTTAGTCATATTGGATCTTCTGAGATTTGAGAGCCTTTTTCCTGCAGGCATTTGAATTAAGTGATACTTTCCTAAATAATTTAGGAGTTAGCCGAGAAAATGTCGATGATACGGCTGGTGCTGCTCAGGTATTCCATCCATAATGCAACTTTTAAGATTCTCTTAACATATTAGTAGAGAGAGAATAACTTTGTTTTGGTTTTCCTTGATGTGCACATGCAACTAGATTGTAGCAGCAAATTTTCTGTATGATACGGGTGCCATTGCAAGCATTCGAGCAGCCGAAATCTATGGGCTTAATGTACTTGCAGAAAGTATCCAGGTAGAACCTCTTACCAATCATTTTCATTTTCTCAAAATTTTCAATTGACTGTTAAGAAGAAATCATAGGAGAGGTAAGTAATAAGACGTGCATGAGCATGTTGTATTCTCGATAATTTTCGATATCCTTTCCAGGACGATTCAGAAATCATCAGTCGATATCTTGTGCTTGCGAGGGATCCAATAATTCCAAAAGCCAATAAGCCTTTTAAGGTGAAAATGAAAACTCATTTTAACCCTTGTCTATATTCACACTTATAGATTCTCTGGAACCAATATCGTTCTCATGCGTTACTTTTCAGACAAGCATCGTGTTTACACTGGATGAAGGCCCTGGGGTTCTGTTTAAGGTTTTGGCCTTATTTGCATTGAGGGACATAAATTTATCGAAGGTATATTTATATCTAACGAAAAATATTTCTTTTGTTAATCTAACTCGATAGACGTTGATTAAAAGACGATTAACATTATGTGCGATGGAATCAGATTGAAAGTCGTCCTCAAAGAAATCGTCCATTAAGAGTTGTCGATGACTCCAACACTGGCAATGCCAAGTGAGTTATGTCTTAAATAATGCTTTCTCAGATGCTGATCCTAACATTAAAATAACCAATTTTTTTATTCTGCATCGAGTTAGGTACTTTGATTACCTTTTCTATATCGATTTTGAGGCGTCGATGACCGAGTCTCGAGCGCAAACCGCATTAGAACATCTGCAGGTGTGTGTTTTGAGTTTTGACATGTTTTTTATGATTGAAATTCTTCATAAGCTTTATATCTTGCAAAGATGGATTCTTGTAATGACTATATGCTAAAATCATGGTGAATGTCTCTGTACAGGAATTTGCCACATTTCTTAGAGTGCTTGGATGCTATCCTATAGATACAACTATATAGACTATAGCTATAGATATAGCTATATTCTATTTATTGGTGAGCTTTCAACATAAACATGGTAATGGAGAAATAAGTATTTAAAATCTTCCGTATAGAAAAACTTTCATATGCTTACTATGTAACGTATGATAAAAATAGTTACAGGGGCCAACTCAAGGCCCAAGCAATGAATTTTCTGAGTAGATATATTACAATAGTGTATAATGTTATAGTTGTTTTTTCAACTAGTAGAGGCTAGAACATTATTGTATTTTTATTGCACAAAAATAATGGCAAAAAATAGTATCACCATCATTTCATGGCTTTTGCTAACCAAAAATATTATTTTGAAATATTTTAGGTGTCTAAGACAGTGTTTATATATAATAACCTTCAAGATTACGTACAGAATAATGAAGTAAGGTAGAGGGGGATGGTGACATATTCACATGTTGTTCTGATAAAACATAAAAGGATGTATATGAGGTCTATGAGGTAGATACTGTATGTGTTGGAATCTAACTTAGTGGCCTCAAAAGTTACATGCTACAATAGTGTCCATAAATTGAGTAAAAAAATCTATAACAATAAAAATTGTGTTGACTACACTTGAAGTGGTTTTCAACCATTCATTCATTGATGTGTAGTTCCAATACAAACTTAACCTTTTATTCAACATATAGCAGTAATGACATGTTCAGCAGATTGTGTTCATAAGTAACAAAGCATAGCAAGCTTCCTTTTATAGATTTTCAAGGTATCTTTGAATCTTTTGTATAAAATAAGAATAAGAATTAACAATGCAATAGACAATCATAGGCGGTTAATTTGGCAAAATTATAGTGGCACTATGAATTTGTGTTAAGTTCAAGAATTATAGGTTTAGAAAAAACTCAATTATAGTGGCACTATGAATTTGTGTTAAGTTCAAGAATTATAGGTTTAGAAAAAACTCAATTATAGTGGCACTATGAATTTGTGTTAAGTTCAAGAATTATAGGTTTAGAAAAAACTCATCGAGAAATTATAGTTTGAAGTTATAAATAAGTTGATATATGAAAGTAACACAATTGCGTTGTGGTTCAGATGATAGAGAACTTCAATATCATGCTTTAGTGTGTGGGTTCAATTGACATGTGGCTAGCACCTAATAATTATATTTAAAGAACTTCAATAGCATGCTTTAGTGTGTGGGTTCAATTGACATGTGGCTAGCACCTAATAATTATATTTAAAGCTGAAATTATATTTCTTAGGGTGCACACGTTTGTTAACTTAAATAACTAACTTGTAGCAAAATAAACTTAAAGGACCAACATGTAATAATAAAATACCTTAAAAAATGCAGACAATATTTTTGCTTAAAAGTAATATTAATTAAAGAGAAAAATTGAAAAAAAATGCATTAATTAAAGAGAAAAATTGAAAAAAAATGCATTGAAAATTGAAATGAGTCATATATAAGTACAGGGGTCTGTTTGATTCAAGAATTACGGAAATATGATGTTAGTGCATGAGACACCTTTTGTGAGGAGAGAAAGAGAGAATAAAGAAATAAGAATTTATTGAATTGATATGAATAATGATATATACTATGATTATTTATATACACTAAAAATATCAAACTAAATAGCAAACTTTAATTGGGTTTGAGCTAACACAACTTGGATTATATTTAAATATTAAATCTAATTAAATCAAATCTAATCTAACATAATATTTCTACATACCACCCATAATTCAAGTTGTCTAACCTATGCTAATCATAGTCGATCTGAACTGTTCTTAATTTCTTTCTCAAATTCAGAAATATGTCGATCTTCAGCGTTGATCATCAATCCTTTGGTGAAAATATCAGTCAACTGTGCTTCACTTGAGCAGTGCCTAACTTCAAGTTCATCTCGATTTACCTTTTCCCTTAAGAAGTGAAATCTAGATTCAATATGCTTACTTCTTCCATGCAGAACTGGAATCTTCGCCAGATTTATAGCAGACTTGTTGTCGATTTGCAACACAAGAGGTTTCTTCACTTGGACCTCCATTTCTTCAAGTACCAATCTGATCCAAATTGCTTGACATGCAACATAGGATCCTGCAATATATTCAGCTTCACATGAGGATAATGCCACCACAGGTTACTTTCTCGAGCACCATGAAATTGGGGCACCAAATACTTGAAAGAAATATATAGTAGTGCTTCTTCGATCTTCCTTATCTCCGCACCAGTCAACATCTGAATAACAAGTAACCATAGCTTCTTTGTTTTCAGAGTCTCGTTGAAATAAAATTTCATAGTTTGTCGATCCTTTTAAGTATCTCAGGATTCTTCTTGCAGCCTTCATGTGTGACACCCTTGGTTCACTCATGTATCTGCTCACTAATCTGACTGAGAAACATATATCTGGTCAACTGTTGCACTCATATCGTAGAGATCTGACAATCAGTTTGAACAAAGTTGCATCAACTCTATCTTCCTCTCCATGCTTCTCCAATTTTAGATTTGGTTCGATAGGCGAATATGCAGGAGTCAAATCATCCATTCTGAATCTCTTGAGTATCTCTTTGACATACTTTCTTTGATGTAGCATCATGTCTTGCTTTGACATTTGAAAATTCATGCCTAGGAAGTATGACAACTTTCTCAGATCTGACATTTCAAATTCTTTCTTCATCAGCTCTTTGAACTTCGACAAATTCTTCAGGCTATTTTCAATTACTAGCAAGTCATCGACATATAAGAAGACTATTGTTATATCTTGTGCCACAACTTGAACATAGACACCATACTCGAATTTGTATTTTACGAATCCCAATTCAACCAAGTATGAGTCGATCTTTTTGTTCCATGCCCTAGGTACCTGCTTGAGACCATAGAGCACTTTGTGCAACTTATATATTTTACTTGCTTCCTTCTGGATCACAAATCCAAGAGGTTGTGTGACATACACCTCTTCTTCTAAAGGTTCATTCATAAATGATGATTTCACATTTAAGTAAAATGTTGACCAACCTTGCTTGCATGCCAAGGCCACTACTAGTCGAACAGTTTCCAATCTTGCGACAGGTGCAAATACTTCAGAGTAGTCAAATTATGCTCTTTGGAGAAATCCTTGAGCTACCAATCTCGCCTTATGCCTTGCTATCGACCCATCATCATTGTTCTTCAACTTAAACACCCACTTTACTTTGATAGTTTTTGTATGAGCTGACAATTCGACCAACTCCCATGTGTTGTTTCTTTCAATTGCTAGTAACTCTTAGACCATAGAAAACTTCCATTGTTTATCTTTGAAGGCTTCGCTATAGTTGATTGGTTCAACACCTGCAAGTAAGGCAAAATGAACTAGTTCCCCATTTATTATGACTTCATCATCACCAATCACTTCATAGTCTTGAAGTCTTGCTGGACGAACTCTAATTCTTTAAGGTCTCTGACTTGTGCCAGCCATATCCTCTTCGACTTCGACTGTGTCAAAAGTGTCAGCAACTACTTCGACTTGAGTATCAACAATGTCGTTGACTTCGACATCATTACTTGCTTCGTTGAAATCATAGCTCATCAGTGGTCATGAGAACTTGGAATGGTTTGCTTCACAAAATCATAAAAATGGCCTAAAATGAAGGTATATTTTAAATGAACCAAAGTTGGAAATTGGGGTTTTTGATCTACACATCCAAACCAAGCCATATGACATACCAATTTGATTGTAAAAGGCATTTTGAGAATATTGACATTGCCACAATTTTGAATTGAGGATTATTTTTAGGACATGCTTTGAAAAGTGGTTACTTGAACCATAAGGCACAATTGCAAAACCTCATTTCCAAGCAAATACAAGGCTCCTTTCCATCCATACACCTCCAATATCTCATTTGGAGAGAATTTAAACTCAGAACAAGTGCAATTGCAAGGAAAAACATGAGATGGTATGTGCATAGCATAAGAAGAGAATTTCATGACATGAGATGGTGAGTTTCTCATTGGATCAATCTAGAACTTTCTAGAGTCCTCAAACACATTCTATATAAGGTTCATAAGAGGTTCATAGCAAGAGTGAGAGAGAATTGGGAGAGATTGGTGAGATTGCAATTTGAAACTTCCATGTGCAAAACAGAATTCAGTTACAAGTTTCAACCATATTCAAGCCATTCTTTTGATCTCAGAACCTTTATCAAGCATACGTGAGTGATTCCAGATGGATAATTGAACAAGATTGGTGGAGAATCGTGTGATAGCATTTGAGATTTTCAGCCTACAACTCAAGATCGGTTTCCAAGATCCAAGCTATTTCAACCAATTCTTTTGCATACAGAAGCAAGATTGTGACTCATTGAAGGTATATGGAAGTTCTCAAAGCCTGATTTGAAGATTTCATACCTCTGTTCATCTCAAATTTACAGGTATGTAAACTTCAATCCACAGCTTGATTTAGGTAGTTTCAATTGGTTTTGATTAGTTAGATTCAATGTAGATGATCATGTGGAACTTTCTGGTAGCTTTAGAATCAGTTTAGAGGCAATTGGTTGAATGATGCAATTTCTGTTCATGATCATATCTTGGCATTCTTGGTGTTATAATCATGGTTTGATGGCTAGAAATGTTCAGTGAAGCGTGGTGAAGAGTTTGAGCTACTTAATTTGGAGTTTGGTGAATTTTGATCATGGACCAAATTCTGAAGTTTGATTCGTGTTCTGAGTTAGGTTGTGTTTCAATGCTTGTGATTACCATGGCTGAATTCATTGTGAAATTTGGAGCATGTTAGGCTTTTTAATTTTGATTTTTGATGGAGATTTGAGGGAGTACGAATTGGGGAAGATGAAGTTCAAATTCTGGTCAATCCATGGCGTTTCCCTCCTTTCAGAGTTTGGAGGTTGAAGATAACCTCTTCACCGTTAGATCCTCACGAAACCTTTGACCAAAGCAAGATCCCACGGCTACGATTGGTTTTCATTTGTGAAGGAATTCAGAGTTATCAAAGCGCAGCGTTTCATTAAACGCTGATGCTGGGCTTAAGTGAAAT